AACCAGTTTTTGTTTTGTCCTCGATGCGGAGTGGAATTGACCAACAGGCAGAGTTGATATCCAGTGCTGTAAAATATTGGCCGTTTCTATTTTTTATTATCAGGTCATCTATATGAGGAAATGGTTGAGCTTGTGGTACAATAATTTTGTTGATATCTCTGAAGTCAATGCAGAGATTATTTTTCGTTCCTTTTTCCCTATTATATGCCAATGTCACTGGTGCTGCAAAGGGGCTGTACGATTCTTCAATCAAATTGTTTTCTAATAACTTTGCCAATTGTTTTTCTATTTCCTTTTTATTTTCTATTGAGCACCTGTATGGTATTTTACTACAATATTTGTTTACTATCAAGTCGATTCTTGCTTCATAATTCTTTACTGTACCAATATCATATCTGTGTTTTGCAAATACAGTCTTATATTTTTCAATTAATTTTTCTATTTCCATTTATTTTATATTAGTGAGATGTTCCAGCATGATCTGCAATTCTTCTTCCTCTGTGTTCATTAACATTTACTAAACACTGGTTAATTTTATTATCTTCATGATCTATTATTTTCTTTTGTGATATTTGTAAATACCCATCTTGAATTAATTAAATTTTTTTGATTTTGTCTAATACGATGAGAAAATCTTCCAAATCATCTGTTTCTAAAATGAATATATCCATGTATTCTTCCCCGTCGAAGATTTTTATTTTCATAGTTACCAAACCTTTTGTATGTGTCACACCATTGACTGTTGTTAAAAATATTTTACTTACATCTTGTGTCTTGTGCTTTATCTTAACTAATATTGTATTTATTAGAGAGACTTGGAAACCTGGATCATATGTTCCATTAACTTCTAATTTGTCTTCTAATAATATTTTGGCTTTAATCAATGGTGTGATTACTCGTTTTTGCTTCTTTATTTAGATTTACTTCTATGACTGAGTTGCTTCCTATCGGGCTACTTGAATTTCTGTCTTTCTTTCTAAACCAACATGAGTCTTCAGGACAATATCTAATACCTTTATTCAAGTTTTCACAATTTTTACATGGCTTTTTCTCTTCAAATTTCTTTTTTATCATGTTCATGTTCTTTCAGTTTTGCAAATCTATTTTGATTCACTAAATGTTCACATTTTCTGATATCATGCAATAATGCAGTAGAGTCCTCACAATTTTCTTTATCAATTTTATTTCTGACCAATTCAGGTTATCCTGCTGCTATAAGCAACACTAGGGTCTTGCAACTAATTGCATTTTTCATATCTAGCAATAACTTTTCTTTCCTCATAGCATATTCAAGCAATGAACCTTCTTGATATCAATAATATACAGCATACATACCTGTACACCATCCTTTGTCTGCAAAGGACTCTAAAAACCTCTCTTTCCATTGAGACCATTCAGCTTCTATTGTCGACATTATGAGGGTTGCTGAATGCCAATCTAAACATGACTTGTCCAGGAATAGTCTCAAAATCTCAATCATTGTACTACCTTCACTGATGTCAAATCTTTTACTTTCTTTCTCAAACGTATCAGGCCATTAGTTTGTATTTGAATGTTTATATGTAAATTTTTCAATCACAAACTTATCTGTTATTTGTTTTAAATTAAGTTGACTTTCATTTTTCTCGGTGGATTCTACTACATCTGTTTTTATTATTTGTTCTAAATACAAGTCATTAAACATTATATTACCTTCTTCATCCATGTATTTTTGTGCCATTTCTTTTGTTAGTGTGATCCATACTCTTCTATTTTGGCCTCGTTAAGTGAAACTATTTTCCACTCTTTTAAAATCATCCGTTTTTGTCAGTTCTGGATGTTCAGTTACAAATCTCATTTCCTGTGGCAACACATATTGCTTGTTATATCCAGTTATAATTGAGGTTATGGCAGGAAGACTTGTCTTTTTGTCCTTCGGCGATGCCAGATATTGGAATGTTAATTGCAATCGTCGCGGCATTATAATAAAAAATTGTCGTTTTATAAGACATTTATGGAGAGTAATAATTAGCTAAAATATGTTTCCCTGTAAACAGAGTGGAGTTTTATTCATTTCTATGAACTATCACTTACATTATTATTTATAAAAACTATTTAACATAAACATTTTGCTCTTACCTGTAAACAGTGAAAAGTCAATTAAAGCCAACTACTACCGCTTCTCTGTTTACACCACTTCAATTATAAAATATCTTTCTTATAAATTTTCCAGCTATACTCATGCGTCTTTAAATATTTTCCAACAATCGTACCACTGATTCCATCTAGCGGTCCTTAGTTTCAACCACTCTTAACCATGCGCCAAGGGTGGGAAGCACGGCATGTTCAAATTAAAGAAAATATATTTTCTTTACATAAATAACCTCCCCACGATAATTTTGTTCTGTTAGTATTTTGATTTTGTTGTGGGAAATTAAAGTTTCCAGAGTTAGGTGAATGAGACAATAATGAAAAATTTTGGTGATTTCAAAGAAGTGAATTAGTGTTAATTATTGCAGAAGGTTTATCGATGTTCAAAGAAAGAACTAGTCTTGATTTTAATAATTTTTCACGATAGGACAACCCTTGTAATTTGCGGTAAGTCGTCCGTTGCTATTTACACAAATTGGAGAGGTAGTTTCGGGAAATGAACAATTTGAATAATAATGGTTCAATATGCATCGAACGTAACGAGGGGTTAAATGATAATTAACTTGTGAATGACAGAATCGCTGACATTTTTTACATTAAATGGTTAAAATTGGTTTTGCCATTTAGGAAGAACTTAAACGATGATATAAAATATTTTTTCTTGTTTAAATATATTTGTAGCTTCTTGGTTTTTAATTAGTTCAAATTGACAAATTTCAATTCCCTGACGAGTTTTGATGTACATATGACACATTTTATAACTAAATTTTAAGTGGTTGTAATTTATGACAGATTTCATTATTTAAATAATTGATTGTAATATTTTTAATAATAATAGACATTGTTTTTGTAGAAAGAACTTAATAGGAATAAAATTGAATGTTTTTTTTTCGCAGAATGTTATGTAATTTTAGAAATCATCTTTGAATTGAAACACATTTTTCTGCAAGGACACTGCGACAATCCTGACCAAGAACCTGAATACATTTATCTACAAGAGAATCTCTTTTAATTTTCGACAATTGCATTGCTTTTGAAACATCATTGTGCAACACAACATAGTGCAAGTTCCATAGTCACAGCCTGAGACAACACTGAGATGAGTGTGAGCGACAAGTTTTTCTTCTGTCGGGCAATTTTCGGACAACTCTGCGACTGTTTCGCTGCGACTTTCTCAAGCTTTGGTGTGATTTTCAAAACTTCCTCGCTGTCCCTGCGAATATTTACGTTGGTTCTCAAAAGCACCCTGTGACCTTCTAAACAAAATTCTATTTGGTCCTGTGACTTTAGTCAAAATCCTGTTTGATCCTGTGACCTTCTAGTCAAGACCACGAATTGCTGTAATAGGGCTTCATCTTCACTGCCATCCCTCTCAGTCTTCCTACTTCCCGAAAGTCCCGGTGTCTATATGTCTTCTCTAGCTGAATAAGCTGATAAAAAGTGCCCCCGCTTGGAATCGAAAAGTAAATCTGCATTGTGACCACAAAAATCATTTTTTCTTGAAGTTTTAGATTCCTCCCACCATCACATCCTTCGTAATAACGAAAAATGTTTCTTTTATTTAAATTTTTTCATTGAATTGGCCGTATGAGTTCTCTTTGAAAATAATGAATCTTTATGTGAAATTTACTTAACTTTTTCGAAAATAATATTAAAAATTTTATTTGCTGTAAAATTCAAACTTTTAAATGGAGTGTTGAGTTTTTTTTAAAGCAAGTTTTTATTTTACCGGTTGCACGAGAGAACTCAAAAGTTGCCCTAAAAATCAGCCATCCTTTTAACTTTTAACGTTTTTCTGATATTTTCGCCATGTTTAAAACAATTAAATTACATGTTTTTGTTCCATTATTCACATGTATAAAGAACTGTATACACGTATGTATTTACAATATTATTTTCTGACTGTAATATTTACAATAAGTATGATCTAAGTGTTACTTCTATACTATAGAAAGAGATTTATTAAATGCTACAGGAAAAATTGTCGATATTTTAACAGCAAACACGTTTTTTATATATCTGATTCAATATATGATATCTAAAAAAACAGTAAATTTTTCCTGATCGTAAACGTAATACGTTACTTTTCTATTCGTGGAATTGTCACAACATGTCACAATTGTGTTTTGGGGTGTTTTTGTACCTAAAAAGTGATGTTTGAAAAACTTCTCTTTCTCCGTTCGTTCCTTATGGATAATAATAGAGCCATAAGTAGACATGATTGCATATTTCTCGAAAAATCTAAGGTGACTCTACATTGCAGTCGCCAAATGCATATTTCTTGAATGATCTAACTCAGAGGTTTTCAAACTGTGCGTCGCGTCTTCTAGGGGCGTCGGGACCATATGGTAGGGGCGTCGTGGTGAATCATTAAAAATGACTTTTAGATTCTCTTTACTTGAATCCTTGTGTCTTTATATCCGCAACATTATTTTGTACTGTCATAGTGAATGTTACTTGTAATATATGTGTGTGTGTGTGTGATTTATTTTACTTATTAATTATGGTTTCGTATAGGTCGAGAGAGCTGTGAACGAAAAAAGTTTGAAAATTTCTGATCTAACTGATGTCACGATTTAAGGGTACCAGGCCTTAGTCTATTTTTGAAATTTTATATTTTGAAAAAGGTATCGCTATCTCTGAATGGGATATCTGAATGGGATCTCTGAATGGGGCAGCAGCTTTGAGTAGCCTCTCACTGTCTGATCACCTGCCACTATTAGGTCTTGATCCGGCGTTGCCTTCCTACTCATCGTCACCATCGGTTGTCCAATGACCGGGTGAAAAAAATGGAAAGGTCATCCTTGGGATTTGCAAATACAAATGGCACAATGACAAGGAGAAGAAAAACATTTAAAAGAAAGTTAAGACTTCCTATGACATTTAATTGCGTTTAATACATTCAAAAATACTTTAAATTTATTTGACTTCAGCACTTTCTGTTAAATTATTCTGTACTTTCTTTCAATAACAAACAAACAGGTAGATATATTGTTCGAATATAATATAAAATTTATAGTTTAGTTTTTTAATAGGCAGACCTTTTGCTAGGTACAGTTACGTGTATTTATTGAACATTGTAGAAAATACGTTTATCGTAGCTAATATAAATTCGTAATACTGAAATCCTGCTTGTCAGTTAATGATATAAACAAAACATAAAACAGTCTTTATGCCCCCTTCATTCATATTAATAATGTTACATTGTCACTAGCCCGATGATTCACAGGATGCTTAATGGAATGACTGCGAAGACAATGTTATTTTCACACACTATTTTGTGTTCACTTTTTCTTCTTCTCGAGCCGGTACGCTTTTATGTACCAGTGAAGAAATAGGTACAAAAACCCTGCAGTTTGGTACACTGCCAGTCCAGTCACAAACGTGTTATAATAACATGAAGGTTGGAAAAATACTGAGAAACAATGGATGAGCACGAGAATAAACTGGATCTGAAACAAAAAGAAAATCTTGTTATAATATAGATCCTTTGAAACCTTTCTTTTTTGAAAGAGAAGGGAAATACACTCATTGTATTCGTATAATTATCACATAGAGTTTTACTTTTAAGAATTTAACATTATTTTAAGACTATTAAAATTAAATTAGTTGATGGAAAGTAGCAATGTACGAGTATTTTCATAGAAATGAATAAAGGGGAGAGGTTAAAAACTAGTGTTCATAACAATGCAGTATACATTGTATATTTCTAAATAAATCGGCACGGTCATGTAAAAGAACATTTCTCCAAATATAAATTCTACAAAAAATGTTTCCAACACAATATTCAGCAAAAAAAGTATTTTATAAGATACATTACAGTTTGTAAGGACTTTACCAAATATAAAGTTAGATATATAACTTTCAAACACTAATTCAGACTAATTTTAAAAAAAAAACTATTAATTTATTAGTCCGCTTCCCTACTTACTATCTGTCTGTCTGTCTGTCTGATTGATTGACCACCTATTTAACTATCTAGCTATCTAAATATAAAGGGGGAGAATATATGACGTACGATAATCATAGACCTAAATCCATATTACAATCAGTATTAATTAATGTAAAGTTGGATTAAAGAAAATCCTGTAATAGAAATATCAGTCAAATTATCCAAGGATTATTAAACAATTAACCATGAACAAATGGTAAACACATTAGAAAGAATAGATAACTGTAATAGACTGGCATAGATAGGCAGGAAGATAATCACTATTATCATCCTTTCTACCTGTATTTTATATCAATTTGCCTGTCAGTCAACAACACAAGAACCCTACCTGAACCCAAGATTTTCCACAAAATAGGTATATCTCGATCGATCTGACTTAATACCAGAGAAATGTAATTTGGATCTGCTGAAAAATATCTTAAGTCTTCTTTTGCTTCGATAGCACGATATATTGTTCAATCGTCTTCTAATAACTGCACAATAAACGTTAGGCCTGCTAGATAATAAACCACGATCCTAGAAACAGTAATGACAGTTTCTTGTAAGATACCTGTCTTAACGCTTGCCACGGAATATCACTGACATCTAGTTCGGTCTTGTTTCATATCTCATAGAAACACGCTATTCATTGATTGCGCCGGAGTCAATACTACAAAACATCCACCTTTCTGTAAAGATTTTTGAGTGAAACAACATAAAATGCTTTGCGAATATTTATGTCTATCACACTAAGTTCCCTGTTTCCATCATTTTCTATTTCAAGAACCTGAAATAATGACATAATGTGGATTTTTTAAGAGGAACAGTTCTTGCCCTGAAACAACATTTCTTTTCTTTACAATTATTGCTTAATATAATTTGTAATGATATTTCGTAATTTTGCAGTGACTTATTAGATTTACCGGCATATAATTACGAAGTCTAGTCTTAAACTATTTTAAAAAAATAGTGCAACAATAGTAATTAACGAAACGAGTGTGTAAAGAGGAGTACAATTGCATGAATGGTGTGTTCAAGAAAACGAGTGACAATAGAAGCGAGTGTGAGTGTTATTATATCCCTTTATCCACGTGTTACATTAAATATTTGTTCCTTTCCATTTAAAAATAATTTTAATTTCGAGAAGTTCAGTCATAGCTTTACCATTTGATGACGTCATATTGGTTCTGTACAAGACCTATTTTAGTAGGCCTTGCAATGTATATTTGTGATCACCTTAATGTCTTAGAGAATAATATAAGAAACGTTTGAAAAGGGAAAATATTTAACGTATTTCGGTTTAAATATTAGAAGAAGCTTTCAAACCCATAAAATTTCATTGTATGTGACGTAAGGGCATGTATGTCTGAACAACACGTGTTAATGTTGGATACTGTAAAGACGATTCAGTTCTCACTCAGACGTTTTGCTGGTGTACTTTCCAGAGCGGGTAAATACAACTGACGATTACACTTTTTATTATCGTAATACGCAAAAACCCAATACGGGATTATAACCAGCTACTACGATTTATTGATATGTCCAATGCTGGAGACTGTATGAACTTATTTGAAGCTTTGCATGTCATTTGGAAATTTCCGTCACATGAAAAACCTTTTAAAACAGTTTACAGCATGAGCGACATCACATTAAACTAGTTTACAATAATTTACAATGCACAAGAATTCTTACAATTTGAATCTGCGTCAAATACTTCTTCCACCAAAGCCACTTGTCCAATCCCAATAAAGCCATCTCATAGTACAGGTACATGAGAATATGGACGAACGAGTTTATCAATCCACCTGAAATGGTATTTCCACCTGCAATGAAACAGATTCATTTATAGACATATTGGTCACATTTTCTGACGTGTTGCTTTTAGCATGTAACAAACCAAAATAAGAGATAAGGAGAGGGTGTTTATTATTTCCGTTATTAAACACTTAAATGAACGACATTCTAAGAAAAGAAAAAAAATAATTTTGTAAATAAGATGCTCACGACGTATGTCTATCAGAACAAATAAAAAAGAAATAATAAAAATTAAGCAAGCCTACGTCGGGAATCTGCGTCTTGAGAAAGCGTACTCACATTCTCCAAGTTCTTTTAATTTATTTTCGACCTCGCTTTATAAAATTTAAAAAGCAAGCAAGGTCGTCTAAACGTTTCTACTGGGTATCAGGAATATATCTTGTACCATAATAGAGAGAAATCATTGAGGTCTGTTAATTGTGCACACAGCAATCCCCACCGAGAGAGGTGGCTCAGAGCAGCAATTGATGTCACTGCAGTGTCTGGCCGGGAGGTCCTAGATTCGAGTCTGGAGGGTGGCAGGATTTTCGACACTACCTAGTGACCTAGGTCGAATTCAGTTGCTGTTTGGAGGAGAATTCTAGCGGCCGGCTGCCCTGATTGGTAGTTTTCCGTGGTTTCTCCGAACAACACTAGGCGAATGCCGGAGTGGTAGCCTAACAAAGGGGCCACGGACCGCGCGTGATTTTTCCTTCCTCTTCCGTGCCCTATTATCATCCCTTACTTACAGAATTACATGCACTTCACCAACACACATACTGGGGGACCGGTCGGACCGGTTAGAGTTTGTGCCGGCTGAGGCGCAGCCCCCCTGGTACCTGGTTTAAGAGTCGGTCGACGGTAGGTCGGCGCCGGACCTCAGCGTCCAACAGGGCACAGCTACCTCCCGCTATACAAACATGCACTACACTTTTGGAACTAAAGACCTTAGGAGTTGGCGCGCCCGTAATCATGAATCAATGAAACCCAGCAATCTGCACTACGTCAGTGACAACCCAGGCAGCGCCACCGCATCAACGAGTGCGAGAGCTACGCGGAAGCTGAATAAAGCGCAAATAAACAGTATGCTTCGGAGAGTCTCTTCCAGGGTACAATGATTCAGTAATGTAAAGCAGGCAGTTTTATTGAAACACCTTAACTAAAAGTCAAAGTTAATTTAATTAATGCCTTATTTTACGATGCGAGACTCAAGCTATGAGGCCTGCTCTTCCATCTGACACGCAAATTTCGCTACGCTCCTTTCACCAACTAGCAGAGACAGGAGGTATTTCTTGGGCAAGAAACAGGAGATTTGAATTTAGCTCAGAGGCGACATTTAGGCTTGAGGATCTTTTACATGCAAGTAAATATACTTAAATGAAACAGCCGGCTTTACGTCCCTTCCGAAGGAAGGCGTACGAAGGATTTTTTAGCTCTTAAAAATCCACGGATTCGATCGGGTTTAAACCCGCCAACTTGGATATAACAGTCCGATATGCTAACCGTTACACCATCGTCGCGCTGCCCGTAATCACCTACCTGCTCCATATCTGCAAGCAATCCAGGTTGTAAGAATCATATTAATATGATGGTAGACATGAATAAAGGAAATCTGATTATTTTTCTTCCGTAGGGTAAAGAACACTGTTTCACAAAGGTCAAAAACTTTGTTGTATCCGTATTGCGAGAGAGCGACGAATACCTACAAATAAGTGTATTGTAATTAGAACAGAATTAACACAAGAAATAAAGACAATTCACCAAAACTACAGGAATCTCAAACACTCAATTATTCTAATTTGCAATATTCACATCTCCGCAGTACTTTGGGCATTTGTTTCTTTACACATATATAAAGTAAATGAGAATATAAAATTATATCCGCAAAGGAACCCAAAATTATATTATAAAAAATAATTATTTTGATCTACGTAAAGATTCTACTTTCTTCTCTTCCAATACTTACTATTTTTGACACAGGGTTATCGTCCGAGTATGTCACAGGCATACACCAAAACGAAAAGTCTTTGTCTTCTTGAGCGGCTTTATACTGAAAAAGGAAATATAAATTATTTAACCAACTGAGATCGATTTTATAAAATAACTAATAGGAACATCACACTTCATATTACATTATTAAAGTATTTGGAATTAGAAAAAATAAAGTTGTATTAAATAATGCAAAACATTGAGGTAGAATTTATGACACAAATATACATTTTGGGAGTCCATTGCACCGAAAAAGTAATTTTTGAAGTCATTCTCGTGCACGTTGGCATTAATGCATTGATAAATCAATTCGTAATCATATGCATGTATTAAGGTCGTACATTAAAACAAAATTTCATAATCTCGCAGATATATAACGCTGGTGTTGCGACACAAATGTTCATATTAGTAGGACGTGAAATGTCCAGGATGGCTTACCATGGGTCTGCAATAATTTTAAAGGATTTCTCGCATTTGTTGACCCTAATTATTGACTGAGACAAGCACGTCTTCACTTGAGACTGCCTACCAGAACTTTCGCGATGGCTGAATGCTTAGTCGCAAACACGATGAGGTTATACTAACATGTTTGTATATTATGACTGGCCTTATCAAGTCATCTGGAGGAGAAGGGTTTAGAAACTGCAAGAGATCGGGGGACGGAGACAAAGCGATTGTGCTTGTAGAGTTAGACATAGGTGCGATGGTAACATCAGTGACGCATTGAGATGATAGTTAAAAAAATACTGACGCTAAACTGTTGACAACAGGTCAACTGTTGGAAGTATAATAAAGAAATTGAGCGATTCTTGTTGTCCCTATTGTAATTGGAAGAGAATCGTGGATAATTATTTCATTTCAAATTCCGAATTTCATGTTCAAATAAAAAAAATGCAGCAGATATATGAAACTAGAGGTGGAGGAGTTTTCTTTCGCAAATGTGTATCAATGTTGGGAATATTTGAGTAGATAATTTCTTAAATAACTTCTGAAAGTCATTTTAGTCATCTGTACGAATAAAATTGCGACAATGAAAGACCCGGAGAAGAAACTCGATGTTTCATAGCAACTACGTAATGTGTTTGATCGAACTCAAAAATGTTCAAAGGGTTACTTGAAACTCGGCAATCCTCATATTTGAAAAGCCAATTATACGATGTTCTCACAGTTTACTGTAAAAAAGTTAAAAGGAAGTGTACATTCATTCATCCCAATAAACACTGAAACACATTTTTAAAACTCGTAGGAAAAGTGATAAAATGCGATTTGATCTCCCCTTTTCAAACTTTCGCCCAATGACAAAGCCGAAGCATTACCTGAACACTTCGAAGCTCCACATACACTTAATAACCCCCCCCATCATATCCAGAATACATAAAAATTGAAAATTCTGTACTGTTCCCAACTATACGTCCCATAAAAAATAAAATACTTCAACATAATAACTGAAAACTATAATTTAAAAAAACATCAACGAAGCCATTCACACTTTAAAACTTTTAAAAGAGGATTTAATGCAATCATGCACAAATATGTTTGTATGCATACCTTAAAACCTTAAAATAAACATTTTAAATGTTAAAAACAATGAAGTAACTTTCGATAAAAAATGAAAGTGTTTAAGAGATTTAATATAAAGTACCCCGAAAAACTAAACGAATCGTTTCAAATTTGCGGTGTCTTGAGTCAGGTCAGGTTGATCAGGGGATATTGGCTTTGGGGAAAAATCATTTGCATTAGATGATAGTGTTGTTGACAGTCGGTTAAAGCGACGAAGGCAGGCAGACCTGTGTTTTAACGCATTTGCGGAATCAGTTACCCCAAAACTTGTATTCGTGTTTCTGTCAAAACTCGACATTGATTTTTTTTGCGGTTTTACATATCTTTCTCTACACTGCATATACGAGAAAGTGAATTAATATTGTGTTGAATAACATTCCCCCCCAAAAAATATCAGAGATCTTGTTGTAGGTTAGGTTCCAAACAGACCCTCGCCTTTGATTGATGTATTAAAATTTCATGAAACTTTCAGTCTATCATCATATTAAAGCGAACGCACCTAAATTAAGAAAGACCGCTGTCCCAACTACGGGCACTTAAACATTTCGTTCCCTTAGTTTACTTACAATGGTGTTTAACATCAACAATTCACATACATTTATGTAATGTAACTGACATATATTGAAGATTATGTAAAGAGATACTTACAATATCGTAGATATACGAGAACAAATATGTATTCCAATATAATTGACTCAGGTTGTACAGATGCATTAACCAGTCGATGTTGTATGGTTGTCGATCTTTCATAAATCTGGGACCACACACTTTAATAAAATATATGTAGGCAAAGAGAATAATAGACGCGGGCCATGGTGATGCTAAATAAGTATATTGAAAAGCCCGAGGATCTGAAAAAAATACCAAATAAATTAGTGCTAACATTACATAAAAAATTTCCTGGCTAACATTACATTGACAGAAATATAAATCTTCACAATGACAATGTACCAACTCCTTATTCCCCCTCTAGACAGATCAATAATGGAGAGTGTCATTTTTAAAATTAAAATAATGGTAATAGTACATTCCTTCTCAAATTATTTTTAACGGTTACGAAAGATTGATTTGCTTCTGGATTCTACAAAAACATCAGCCATTTCTCTAAAAAAATGTCTTCACTAAACAAATTTCAGGAGATACGAAAAAATTGTCTTCAAATTTTGAAAATCAAGAGTTTAAATAAATATGGCATTTTTGCCGTGGAATCCAGTAATTAGAGCTCTAATCGCGTAAAAAAAGTGTTCGCACTAGGATTTTCCAATGGTTTTCGAAGGGAAATCCTTACCCCTTCCCTACATAAGTTATTGTATGCTGGAGACGACAAAATTTTAATTTACCAAGGTAACTGCCGCTAACTTTTTAAATCTCTCCCTAACTCACCTCTTCAGTAAATTCAATTAAAGAGGAAATTATACGCAACCAAACAAATAATTCGCGATTCCCAAAGGAGAAATTCAGACTCGCTTTAAATTTACCCTTATTTGTACAAGCAACATGACTCTACATTACATAAACAAATGATTTCAGTTCAAACATTTCATACATTCATTATTAAATATAAAATATTAACATATGTAATCTTACACATCTGGATGAACCAGACAATGTTAAGGAATATTTGTGCATTTTATGTTAACGTAATGATAAAACCACTAAAAGACAGTAATAATCAGATAGAAGTAATTTTTTTAACGGAACACCACAAATTTATTGGTCTGTGTACGAACGACGCACACGAGTGATGTCACTGACGTATGACGAGTGGCAGCAGTGACTCAGAGTATGAGAATGAAATAAAATACAACGAATTACTAATTAACATAATTATATAGTTACATTTCTCAGTCAAAATAGAAAAAGTGTCACTTTTTGTATTATTCTAATCCTCTCAAAGGTCAAAGGCCGTATTGTGGCGACACAGAGGCCAGACAGGTGTAATAACGACGAGAATTTTCTCATTAAATCAAAGAACGATTTCGTCATCTCTGTAAAACGCATATTTCCTGCACAGTAGCAAGCAAATCGCTGTGTTAGGAAACCGCGAGACGAGCGGCTCCATACACCGAGCCCTCTCTGGTCCTATCCCTTGACTGGCGCAGGACCGCCAAAGTTTTTGTGTACTTGGGTCTGCATCGGATACACGCGCCCCGTTTACACTCACCGACCACCCAACCCAACAGCCACCTACCCACCCAACGCCTGCTCCTGAGCGAACACAAGCATACAAACTACACAGGACGGAAAAATTCCCTGTAATACTAAAAGCAATACCCTCGATTCCAAAATATAAATATGACCAAGCTGCAACGCACACAAGTTGTGCAGTGGCTCTCCGAAACTTTCACGGAGACCAAACACCATAAACATTCACAGAGAGAGCGCCTAGTGGAAAATTCCATTACTAAAAGTTAAAGAAGTCATACGGGGATTGACTGAAACAAATTTTAGAACGCAATACGTCGGGCCCAATAGAAAGACAGGTTTAAGAACAGATACGAAAGGTTGAACCTACATGAGATCAGGAAAACGGGAGAGAAAACGCTTGGCTAATAGCTTCCGTGAGGGAGACTTCGCTGGTGACCTCCGCAGGCGAGATTTGGTAGGATGGGGGGACTTTGATCTTAAATTTCGTTGTCGGTCTGTCGCACGCTGAGATTGCGTTTGAGCGCACTGAGATTTTTAATTAAGATTTCCGGACACAAAAGTCGTGTTCATCATCTTTGAGACATTTAAAACTTATCGCCGAGTGCTGTAAAATCGCGGTCACAGTAAATTCCGATCCGGGAAAAGTTACTTCCGTGCCCGTTGATCTCATTCATTACAAAACGATTCTAGAACTGTCATGACCTGTCGCAATCATCAAAGATTGATAAACTAGTGCGAAAGAATTGGCGTAACGTGTGCGTTACTCCGACAATAAACGTACAGCCAGGTCTATTAACGCTCTTCAAGCCGTTCAATCAAAACACTATTCAAGTGCAAAAAAGCTTAAATTTCTGTTTTTGTAATTTGCGGCGCAGCGCTTTGGTCTACTGTGAATTAGCTATAGGTTTGTTTTATTCTAGTAGTGCAAATTGAGTTCAACATAATTTCTATTCTGCTAATTTTTTATTTGGTTATTAAATTTCTCACTGTCACGTTCTTAATGATGTGTCTCATGACATGTTTTTTTCGTAACGCTAATTCTTCGTAGCACCGAAACGGTATCCTGAATTTTCGTCTATCTAGCCAGCATCCACGTAAATTGTGGCTTGCAAATTTCTCTTGAAGCAAAGCGTCGCAAGCTCATTTCTGCACATAAATTAGGTGGCGGAGAACGACAGACGATTACAGTATTGTGAAGTACACTTATGAAGGTAGCATAGAACAGATCTTTACTGTACACACTGAATTTTCAATACGGGAAAATAAAAATATGAAAAACAAATTTCTCAAAAACAGTTCCAAATTTTTACTGTCTCGTCTTTTTGCTTTTCCGAATACATACGTATATACCGAATAATATACGTAGTACAGGGAAAGTTCTGAAATACTGCGCGAATGGCAGATTTGCGGAAGATAAAAATTCGTTGCCGGGTCCTGATAACAGGAAGTTAACACATCCAGGTGCTAAATTAAGAAAAACAGTCCCCTAACACGTGGTGTAGTCAGAATTCCTGTTCTGTGGGTCATTGATACCGAAAAATCAATTGACGGCAAAACGTCAGTTTGTCCGTCCGTCTGTGAACAGTACTAGCCCTTACACCAAGCGGAGGATATTTTCAAATTGAAGAAACCCCTGTTTATCTGACTCGAATCGAACCTTTGAGATTCTCAAAAACATTTTTTAAAATTTGGGGGTACTTTACATGACGCTCTCCGGGCTTTTTCAAAACTTTTTCAAAAACGGCTTCCAATTTTTTCTTTACATTTATTGTAAGAATAGAGCGACATAGACTTATAGAATTGGTATAGTTCCGATTTTCAACTCTGAATTTTCGAAAATTTCTAAGTATGAATTTTATTCGGCGTCGTCCTACAACTACAAAATTGAAGACCGAGTTTTTTTCTTCAAATTAAATTTGTTGTCCATAATTAGTTATTTCATAAAAGTCATGTTAGTTTTGTTAAAACTTGTATGTACTGTGCCATGTTATTGCAGTATTAATGAAGACTGTTTTCATGAAATATTCAAATTATTGCAGTTATACTAGAGTATTTTATTAGTTCCTCTTATGGAGTGTTTCTTTTTGAAAATTATTTTGTGTAGTTTTGTTAAGAGACATTTTTGCTTCTACATAACACTAGTTAATACTAAACTACCACTAATTTCATGCATACGCAGCGGTGATCTTGTGTACCTTTTGTCCATCATCCGTATTGTACACCAGATTTCGTCGGTTCAGATATTCAGCCACTATTTTTCTCAGGTACGTTCGTAAATTGATTTGTTGGAGTGGCTTATGAATGGCACTCCATCTTGCCGAGTTGAAAGCATTCTTAATGTCCAATGTCACGATTGCCCTGTACTTTTTTGGACCTCTTCTCCACCTGCTCCTTCTAATGGCTGACGGGCTGTCAACGACAAGCATTGTTGAACATTTGTTTGTTGATTGTTGAACGAGCCTTGCGAGAGCCATACTTGTTCTCTACGAGTCCACCTCCTTTATCCGCTGCATCTTCCAATCTTGCGCTAATGATATGGCTGAAAGCCTTACGCGCGGTATCGAGCATACACAGCGGCTGGTAAGACGCAGTCTCTTCGGGAGTTTTTTGCCTCTTAGGAAGTACTAGCTGCTGCTTCTTCCATCTGTCAGGAAATCTTCTCTCCCATACCTCACAAATAGTTTTTACTGTTTTTTGACTAAATAAATCTAAAACTAAATCGAAATATCCCTTCTCTCAAACATGTGTCGTAGAGGTGCACACATACTTAACTGCAATCTGCGATAGCACAGTCTTCAGGGTGATGTTGGGGATACTATCCGCCCCTGGTGCCATGGCATTACCAATTCTGTGTATTACGTACGCTCATCTGTAGTGACTGGTGGTAAGACTTCCGTCTCAAGTGGCAGGATGTTGGTCGGTTCGCTGGGGAGGTGTGGGAAGAAAGTTGCCACATTTCTCCGAAGAATATTAGGGCAAGTTGGAGAATGGCTATGCGACTTTATGAACTTACCCATTACTGTACTATATAGTCTACCCCATACATCAACTGCATCGCACAAGCTTTTAACGCAAAAACGTTTACTTTCCCAGATTGCAATGTTTTAATGGTTTCTGGCCAATTTATATTGTTTTTGCAATTGAAGAAAGGTGTCTTTCCCACGTGCCCGCTGGTACAGTTTCTTGGCAGTGATTCCGCTGCTGAGCAAGGTCTTCATTCCCCCAGTAAACTTGTGGTTGATGATTGGTTTATCTTCTGGGAGTAAATGTATCACAAACTTTAGTTATCCAGTTCATAATTTGGCTAACCTTTGTCTCTGCCGTCTCTGAAGGTTCAAAATTTTCCAAACAAAGGCGGAATACTTTCTCATCGAACGCTTTGGCTTTCCATCCTTTCACCTTACATCCCGGACCGACTTAACGATTTCTTTGATAGTGTACGTCGAATAAAATAGCCTGATGGTAGCCGTGTGTGTAGTTTTCTCTGACTTTCCAGGATACCCCCATTCTCAACAAGTTACCTGTCATAAACGTTATGTCTGCAACTGATCCTCCACCATCTCTGCGGAAGGTTTGTTTATCTCCAGTGTTAACGATCAGTACGCTCAAGAGAGAGAATAACTCTAGCACAGTTCTACCTCTTTTGTTCGTTGCCCAGTTACCCCACTCCACAGCCCACGCGTTGATTTCCCCAGCTATCACG